AGACCAAATAATTTCAATGATGGTGAGAGAACTAGTGCGGGAGTAATTTGTAGCCCTTGAATGTATGGTTGTTCCTAATACCAAGATAGACTATTTCAATGGAGGGGTTTAGCTAGGGAACGCTTGGTGGATGTGCTGAAACTGCCAAATTACGCGGTTATCCGGAATCCATTTAAAGGCTTTACAATGTCACAATCACGTATAGGGCAACAATAAGTTAAGGAGTACGAAGTTTTACTAAATACATCCTTTTCAGTTGCATGCTGCAGAAATCAGGATCACATACTTATCAAGTAGAGTTGCATGGAAATACACATACCCTTCGGAGTTGGTCTTTGCTTGATGTGCCGTAGTAGTTAGTAACTGTAATGAGCATGTGTTCTGTAATATTTTCAAAGAGCAATTTTACTGAAAGATGCGGTTTCTTAACCTCAAGGACATTTTTCAAATTGTACAGAGAAGCCGAAGTTGGTGGGTCATTTTTTTTGGACACGTTCACGCTCTGATAATTTACATTGGCTTAAGTCAACCAGAAAGACAATTTGTTATATTCCGAATAACATATACTTTACGGTTGTCAAGCGAAGGCATACTATGAAGTTTTTATGATGCTTCCCTCTTACGGCAACCAACTATACATGAACCATTGATTCTAATGGCTTACGGTGGTACCTGACCACGAAAGTTTGCAACATAAATTACAATTAAAGTTACTCCTATCTGGGTATGATTGAAATAAGTCTCTTGCAAAACAAACTTTGTTTGCTAACGAGTATATTACGCTAAGAATATAGCGTATTAACTTGTTTCAAGCCCGCGAAACCTGCCAGTGATATTTGAAAAATTTAGTACCATTATCACTGAGACTGGGGTAGAAATTTTTAAACCCTTTGGAGATATCTGGAAAGCACCTTTTTAATGCGTGCATGGTAGAAAACGCGCGTGAACCAATATCAACGTCCTGCTTTCAGTGTTTTCTTTTTCATCCAGAAAATTCGCATTCGTTTTCAAATAAAATGTAACGAACGGTCGTTTTGTTGAAATATAACAGCACCGTAAATGACAGTTCTGATGCTAAAATAGTGCAAGAGTATATTAGCACCAGTCGAGATTACGGGAAAAATCAGTAAAATTATGTGTACAAAACATTCTTTATCAATGAACTGCCGGTTCCTGTTGGGTGTGAACTTGTATAGCTCTCGGCCAAATTGCCTGAAATTCTGCCATAAACTCATTCCTTTGTTCACAAACTGAATGACCAGTTTTCAACAGCATAATTTTATTGCGTCCATATGTGAAGACCAGCATGATAAGCAAACATCTGGGGAAAAGCACAACACAGTTTCTAACCAAACAATACTGTCCGACATAAAAAATGGAATAAGTCGCTGAGAACCCTCTACCTAGAGATCGACCGTGGTCCTTACTCCAAGTGCTTCTCCACCACAAAAATAGAAACCCTCAAGTTTTGCCCGTTGGTCACTCAAATTTCTCCATTCTACCATACATGTGCAGTGGGAAACAAAACCATCTGGACAGTATGGATTGCAATGCTTATCGTTGGCACAAAACTTATTCTCCCATTTGTGACGCCATAAGCTACAATGTATACACCCTGGTAACGATCACTCATTGTTTTGGCATGTGACCACCCTTCATACAACTCAATAGAGTTACAATTAAACATACCCTTATGACTAATACGTACAAATAAGCCGTTGCCCATAAATGAAGAATAACAATATAGCGATATCGTCAGACAAACCTAAAACAAGTAAAGAAAAAACTTTTCAAACCAATAAGTCTGAAATATCCCTAAGAAATTGGTAGAAGTGCAAATCACCGCTCTATTAGCCAGGTATGCTGATTAGTGTTTCAACTAAATGACTAATAGTTTCCGAATAGTAAGGTGTGAATGAGGCGAAACTTCGACAAAAAATGGATTAAAACTGAGTTCGGGCGGAGAACCAGACACGATGCGAAATAAAATGTGAGATGACAGCAGTTATTTCGATGAATACAGCTTGAGATGAATGTCTGCCAAAGTAACACTGAAGCTACTTGGAAGCAAGGTTAATAAGACTGATGTACGGAACTCAGCGACCGCTTTAGTATCAACACAGATTTTAGGCGCATTACGTTTCCAGACTGTCTTTCAGGCATTTAGAATGAGCCAGGAATCATATGGTTATAATTTTGGTTGTTGTGTGTGAATCTGTAACACGGAAGGAAAATTCTACGGGAAATCCTCTAACTCGCGTGGCCCAGATAGCTAAGGTGGCAAAACGTCCCCTGAATAGCTGTCATTCTGCCGTTTGCCGTGTCAAGTCTGCAATAACCTAATGACTTTTTGTGACCATGTTTATAATACATAGTTTACGATTCCGCTAACACCCTTGGTTGAATTTGATGGTCACTACTCAAACCTGTCTGAGCCTATGTGGCAACAGAATTGTATAAGATTGTTCACACATTTATACTGAGGGGAGACCTGAAACCTTAAACAGAAAGTCGTCCTGAAATGAAATGCCATCTGTGAGCCCTGTACAGCTGGTTCATCCTTATGGCGAATCACAAACGGAGCGCAACTCACAAAAGTTCATTTAGTTTCAAACCCGCGACTTCTTGGCCAGTAATCTGAACACAACCACTCGGCCACTAGCGGTTTATTGGCAGTGTGATTATGCTGTGCCCACACAGGATATAAGGCCGTTCCTCCTCTAACTATGGGATGGATGTGTGCAAATATGTATTGTGCAAGAGTTGAATGCACTGCTGTTTAGCCACTAGCCAAAAGGTCGTGGATTTGAGACCCTTTGGAGTTTTTTGAGATACGCACAAATGAAACAGATACATACATACACATACATAATACTTCTCCGCTTTTCAACCAGACTGGCCTCACTTCCAGAAGAATGTCTTCCACAGCATTTACACGTGAGTAAATAGTGAAAAATAAGGTTCATCCAGAAACGACGAAAAATTAGGTGCGTACTTTCAGGTTTATTTGGTAAACTAGTTAGTCAAGAACGTCTACTCTTCAAAACCTGAGATAAAATGCTGTAGGTCTCCGTGTAAGACGTTTTAACTATCATTTGCTCATTTCGCGCCATCGTTGCTTTTCTGTGTATCTTAAGCCTGGAGACGGCGATTCATAGAAACGGCTGATGGCGTAGCAGATTTGCAGACGTAATTCAACCTTTAGCATCTGATTCAGCTCAAGTGTGTCTCAGGCGCAAGGGATTTCCAAGGATCACTGCTGAATATTTCTGACTCTCAGCTATGGTTATACATATTATTATCACTATTATTACTACTCATCATCTCGCCGTCAAACATATGCTTCTTCCGCTGCCCTGAAAATGTGCAGCATAGCGTCAAATCCGCCAAAACATTCTGGTTAACAACTTGTCATGAGGATCCACAATCAGTCGGGATTTGCCGGACTTAATCTGTAGTTGGGAATAGCGCAAATGGCTGCAGTGGAGTTGACTAATTTCACCGCGGTCCACACCCACGCAGAGTGCATATTTGATTGTGGAGCAAAAGGAATTAATTGTCAGCATTGCACACATCAACTGGAGCTTTACAGCGGTAATCATGTGTGCATTATATTGTCTCGTTGTGTTTACTGGTCTCCCAGCAACGTAACCAATCATTTGTGAGCGTCCAGAGATCTTAAATAAAAGCATTAATATGGCGAAAAACCGAATTCTGCAGACTACACGGCAGCAAAAGTGAGGGTAAAACGTGTGTGGTCCTGAGAGCATTTAGAACACAACATACAAACACGTAAAAATCCAAATGCATTCTGCTTATGGTTGCTAGTTTCGTCGNTCAGAAAAGTACAGGTATGTAGCGTTCATCTTCGTTAAAATAAGCTGCTAATCAAATGGATACAAAACTACCCAAGGCACAATAACATAGTTTTATTGCTGGATAACCGAGTTACACCAATATTGTCCTCATGTAACGTATCCCATGTTTATAGAGAAGCATAGTGCAATTTTTTCGTTTATTGAATTAGAACAAAGTGAAAAGCAGAGGCTGGTTTCCTCAATAAGTTGGTAATACACAAAGTAACTCACATTATCACACTTGTAGGATCTTAAACTACCTAAGAAATACAAGAATTTGATCTACTGATAATTTTTTGGAACCACGCATGTATGAATGCACTTCATCGCAAATATGACGACGACCTAAGTTACAGCTGGAAAATAGTGTAGACTATATCCAGGAATATGAAAATTAAAGTGGACCTCAAGAGTTGAGCTAATAAATAGCTAAAACATCCGATAGACAGGAGCGGCAAGATCATTTCTGGGGGATGGTACCTTCTCTCAGGACAATCAGAATCCACCGCAGACAAAGTGCTGACCCAGTTTGCTCTCTGCAATTTCAATGCCAATTTAATTTGACCAAATGGTCAGTTCAGCCAACCAGTTGAATAGCTGTGCAAATGAGTTGTTTTGGCTAGCGAACATGATTACACATGCAAGTCTGTCATTAATGGACAAGCTTCGGGCCTGCTTGTTACTATTGAACAGTAGGCTATTCGGCTCAAGCTAAACGAATTTTGGGAATATTTTGTTACTAGATCACGTTGTGTTGCTTGTAAGGTTACTTTCACCAAAATAAATATGTTACAATGCGTATCTTCCTGTACGTGTTGTTTATGAGCTGTATAGAGCATTTCCAAAACAGACGGCCGAGCAGCAACCGCTAGACAGCACAAATGACCTCCATGGGACACATACAATATGTAGTAAAAAGCAAAAAAAAAACGCCAAATCTAATCATTGGTACGTTCAAAAATATTGTCGTCCCACAAATGGCACTCTGGAAGGCTCAGCCACACGCTGTCTTGCCGCGTGCGTATATCAAGTAATATGGGTGTTTTGTTCATAGTTAGAAACGACTCTCCTCCTGTTCTGGCGTAATTATTCCGGTGGATTCACACCAGAGGGAAGAACTGGATTCGAGGTTCGCTCTTACTAGAGCTCATCAGCAGTGCATATCCAATAGCCGTGCCGGGATATGAACTCCGGACATCTGGCATACGAGGCGAGCCGAACAAAGCACTAGAATGCAAATCCCACCCGATCAACTTCGCTCAAATTTTGTAACAGCAATCCAGTAGAATATTGGACATACACTCGATGAGTCGTCCACACTTAAACTCGGGGAAGATGTTGGCGTCAAACGTAAACATCGGTTTGGGTTTTCAGTGAGCTTGCTGGGTCGTAACCTGTTGTCTATTCAAGGAGTTACAAGGATAACGGATGCTCGCCCAAAAACATACTATTATTGCGAGCGATTTTCGCAAACGAACTCGGGAGGTTTACAGACGTTTCAATTCAAAGCATTTTCAACAATCGTGGGGGGCGGCGTAGAATCATTTTAGTCTCCAGATAAGAAAAAGATAAAGAAAAACTTTTGTCGTTTTAGTCTAACCTTGTTCACGCGATGTTAGCCTGTTTCCTTATTTCACAAATCCCTCCTTCTGGGGAATTTTTTTCACTCTTAAATGAAGAGTGCAGTCGCTTTTACGAAGCAAAGATGCGGAAAGCTTGGTACGATAATCAAGCAGTTGAAAAGACGCATATTTAATCAAGCGTATAAACCAAAAGCTGTATTCGCGTTACTGAGCAGAACATCGCACGAACTGGCGAAAGGGAAGAGCGTGGATAAGAAGAGTAATGATCCCGTATTCTGTGTACACATCTCTTGATTTCGGAAAAATCTTCGATGATTACTGCAAAGTTTGCGTTATTTTGATTTGCATATTTGCTCAAATGTGAGTAACGTTACCGTTCATTTGTTTGCAAATATATCCCTTCCAAATAAAGGGCAAATTTGAAAAGTGAGCAGGGAATTCCTATCCGTTTTTACCATGACCTCGATTGAAAATCCTTGGATTTGTCCTATCCGAGCAAATTGTAACGAGTATGTGGAGGCCGAAATACATTTCTGTGTCAAGGTCAGGTCCGTAAAATCTATTTTGACAACCCTTTAATGGTTTATCTTTTGTTGTCCCTTGCTTTCAATCAAGCATTCTTCTGCCTGCTTATTAAATCTATTTAGGTGAATTGTAGTTGGGTTCTTAAGTGGTTTAAGCCAACGACAGAGCAAAGAGTGCTTACAATAGCTTGAATTCACGTGCGTTTTATCTAAAATCGGGATTAAATTTCCTCACCTATCATTCATTATGCATTACAGGCAGAAGAAGAAAACGTCAAAACAGTTCATTTCACTACTTCTTCCGGTCTGCATTTTGTTCTCATGACATTTATACTCGAGGCTATATTCAGGAAATACAGACACCTATCATACAACATTTTTACATTGTGTCCACGGGGACGATTTCACTTGTTTTGGTGAAATTCGTTCCTTCATCAAGGAAAAAACATAAGATACCATGATGATAACACGCCTGTTTGCTAGCCATAATGCACGTTTTCGTGCCAAATATGTAGGCCCCTTTCGTGGGCTGGTCTTTTGTGCGAAATGCTTGCATGTTGGACAACAATTCAGTGGTGCAAGGTAAAGTCCTCTCTGGTGAATGATGGCATTTTATGGCGTAACCATACTTGGAAATGGACAAATGGCAGGGAAAAAATGATGTATTGGAGATTCATCTCTGGATTATAAAACTACGCGCATGTATCGGCTCAATCTGTTTTCAGCGTGCGATGAAATCACAAAATGAAATATTAGGTTGTTAAACTAATTCTTATGTACTGTCTCTACGACAGATAAGAATTTGTAAGCTTATGTATTACCTGGGTATGAATTTCTGTAGTTTGACGAACTCCGGCAGGAATACATTTAAATCTCCGTTTCCACTATTCGAATGCTTTGTCGCCGTGGTTCGTAAAGAAGTTCCAGGTGCGTTAACTTGTAACGTGGAATGCAATTAACATGCGCGGTATCAAAATATACACGTAACTATAACGAATCAATGCTTCGAGAGATTATGAAAACTCCTAAACTTTGGTTAATTAGTCTGTGCACGAACGCCTATCTTTGCCGAATGTAAGCAGTTTTTTAAGCCAAACCTAGTTCCGAACATCAATCAGCGGTTAATACCAACTTTGTGTGGGGCATTGTAGGATATAGATAAAGGGTTCATTTCGTGAGATATCAGCGTTGGATGCCTGCAGTTGTGTTAATAGATACACTTCAAAGTTCAACTAAATAATGAAGCCCACAAAAGACTTTCACGTAGTATTTTTTTGCAGAATCAAGATTTCAGTATAGTGTTGAATATTTCAGAATAATAATATGGCCACTAGGGAGATTTTTCCTTTGGAAGTTTACTTAACGTATGGTATAACACAAACCCAGGCACAGCAAGCGTCGAACCATTAACATGTGCCTACTGAAGGAACCAGATTAGACCAATGCGCTAGGTTAAATGGTAAGAATGAAGTAGACATATATCTAACTGACATCCATTAGGGTAAATCGAGGTCAGTTCATATTATATTTCATCTCTATTTGCCGGTTTTGGCGGTGGAGTTGTATTGTTTGTAACTTCTCTTCACCGTCATCGAAATCAACATAGACAGCAACACACTAATAGTAGAAGATGGTGTCTTCTGAGCATACGACCAAGGAAATGTTTCGAACAAATTACCAAAACCTCAGAATAGAATTTTAAATCAATTAGGGACATAAACTGTCAAATCATTAACTCATGCTGTCAATCGAAAGGTTCTTCTTTGTGACAGCAGTTGTAAAATAAGATGAATCGAGTGCTTACTAAAACATACAGGAACTACTCCTAGTACACGAATTTTCGCTAGTCTAACTGCCTATCCATATTTGCGGCACAATGTAAGGTGACTCTGTTGCAATATTTTTTCATCAAAAGATAGCATGAAGGGTCTCGACCTAGGTTGTTTGGCGATAATGCCCGAATCTGAAAGCCAATGACGGCATTTATCCACATTCTCCAAAACAAATTGGGCTACAGCAAACTTCGGTATATTTGGTTTCATCATTTAACAAGGACTTCGTACACTTGATGGTCATTCATCGATTTAAAACAGTTGCATACCCATCAATTATGCATGAATTCTACGGTATGATGTAATCTATCATGACGTTTGTTGTTCTCGCCATAATGTTTGTAACAATACTGTGATTTACGATGGGTGTTAATGTTTCTGTTTAGAGGCAATGACATTTGCATTGTGGCGGAACAAGCAATCTTCTGTGCGTGTTTGTAATATACACTTGTCTAATTCTAAGCAATCGATCATCACATTACTTCTGAGGGGCGGTTGTTTGAAATATAGATAAATCATTCTGACAGGAAGTTTGAAAAAATCTGTGCCGGAATGTGTTTGATTACATTCGGATATATAGTTTACTGGAGGAAAAAATGAATCATTTTCTGCGATTTTACCAGATTTTGCAAAAACGCTGAGAAGTTTTGCCAGTCTGTGTCAGCTTATAATTTACTGATGGGATAAATCAACAAAAGAAACGATCTTTTAGAAATCCATCCGTCCGACTGCCATACGATATTTGACATTGTCTAGAGTTCGGTTATAATAAATTTTCTACGCAACAAATCAGAAAATATGGATAATTATTTACCGCAAATTTCAATATATTACCCATTCGTGAAAAATAAGAGTAAACAAAGTAACACTAGGAGTCATGGTATTGGATCACGTTCAGCAAATCACTTGAACACAAAAATCAAAATTATATAGGGGAAGTGAGGCGGATTTCCGCAAGTAGACTAAAAGAAATGCACATGGCTGTATTTTTAAAGAAGTGTGAGTGTTAATTCTCTTTTCTCGTGCATTAAGGCCAGCTTAAGGGGAGAAAAGTAGGGTCTGTTTCTCAGAAAATGAAAGAAGTTCAGGCAGTTGGTCGATACATCCAGAGATAAGTGAACTTCTGGGTCCCCCTGGCGAGGTTACATTGCGATTGGCAACTGACCACCAAAATCAGATCAACATCTGGGAACGTTTGTGCATGTACTTTAAAGCTGCCCAATTTAAGTAACTAAATAGATGTTTCTCCGTTATTCCTCAAAAGTAGGAAGCTTTGGGACAATTTTTCCCAAACGCCAATCGGAAGTTAAATTTGCGTTCTAAAAGAAATATGATCAAACTTGAACATTTCTCAAGTCCTTGAAAAAGTAGGGAAGAAATTCCTTCTGCCAACACTGTTTGATCAACACGTGGTGAAATATGATAACTGTAGGACTCCAAAAATACATAGTGTAAATTAAAGATCTATGCGCTGGGGATCTTTCACCTGGTATGGATAATAAGTTGGAGCCAAAATTTTATAAATTCTGATTGGGTGAATCACAGAGTTTGCTCCCACCAGATATTTGAAATAATCCAACAAGTACCCTCGATGCACTCTCATGCCTTTATACGGACAGTGCGACAGTAATACATTTCGATAAACTGAGCTCAAACATGTCAGAAGGCAGTTGAACTTGGAAGGTACAGTAAACTCACTTTGTTAAAAGTACCGTTCAAACGGTACTTTGAAGTTTGGTATATAAAGGATTCAGCTCAAAACAGATGCGGGATAGAATCATAAGTCTTTTACTAGTGTTTTCGTGAAGACAAGAGAATTGGGTGGTTTCAGTGTCACTATGAATGAGTGATTCAAAAATGTTCTTTTTCCTTCAGTTTTCAGTAAGTCCGCTTGATTCTCGGTTCTCCTTGATTTGTTGGTATATTTTTTTATTTCAAACAGTGCACCATTACAAGATGGAGTTAGGATCGAATGCATAAGACAGTGGTGTATCAGGTAGCGGGTTTTACTCTGCTTAAGTAGGCAACTCGAGTATTTCGAGTATACATCAAGCAATTTAATAACTCTAAATACAGACCAAAAATGAACAAACAACTGACTGCATTCGTCCGCAGCATGCGCGTCACTGCACCCAAACTTAACCTAATGGTTAAATATTGTTCCGTAGATTTAGAGCGATTTCCTTCTCACTTTTAGCACAGAAGGTCTTAGTTTCAGGAGCCATTTACATAGCTGACTCCTCTTACCCAAGCTTTCCTTCTGAAAGCGGAGACACGGACACTGCTTTGTGAAATAGCATTTGTCGTACTACTTTCCTTCACAAAGATTTTCTTCGGAAATACGTTACTGATATGTACGTTATACCCATGTATCTTGGGAGGCGGTTGAAGATAACCATGTACAAATCCCAATAAAGCTTTTTCAAACTGTGTCAGTTTTGGTGAGAGGAGCTAATAATGTGTGACTGAGGTGAACCATCCGCAAAATGATCACGCCAACAGTCCTGATTTTGAAAATTGGTCCATTCCAAGCTCATTTTTTCATCACCGATGTTTCTACAGAACAGACGAAGGCAGATGCCTTCAGCACATGCTGAACAAAATGGTCTGTCAGCAGATATGAGGTAATGATTCGGAGTCTCTCAAGTGACAAATAAGATACATTGGAATGGTTAGCTGGTCATGTCTATGCTCCATTGCCTTTTACCAAAGAAAGACTTATTTTCTAGACCAAATGTTTTGCAAAAGCTCACAGATTACAGGCTATGAAATGGCAACACAGAATAAAAGCGGCTAATGTCAAGGTGTATCTTTGTGAAGTCAACACAAAAAAAATACATTTGTACAATCAATGCACTCTAGAGTATTGTGGCGAGAGTTGGCAAAATGATCCGGAAATATACTTAGGAACTTCAGGCCCATTTCTCTTTACCAGTTATGTGTGGCGAAGTTAAACAAGTAACAGAGACAGAGTCCGTTTCGGTGCCGCAGTTGTTGTGCTCTAGTATGCGTGGCGTTGTTCAAGCTCCACTTGCGTGGAAGAAATTCTGATTGGTCACACTATTAGTGAAAACTGTAGCCACCTGTTGACGGATCATACTCCCTTTGCTCACCAATTTTTGGATGGAATCACAACAGTTGTCTTATCGAGGTTGTTTCAAAGGCACTCCTGTTGGTAAGTGATTATATAGACACGCTATTTTCTTTCCTGCTAGACTCAACCATTCGTGTGGGCGACTGAATGGCATTGCGAGGAGGATAGTCTTACAAGTTCTCCTTAAACGTACATGATAAATAAACTTACACATCATGAGTGAAGTGCAACGGGCAGAATAAAACACCAACAACATAGGCAAAAAGCTAACTAGTATGGTATCATTAAACAGTAAATTGCCCGTTTCTCGAGGTATCTAGATGATAAAAATTCGCGATAGCCAATGTAATTGTTCCAGGATTACTAGCAATCCAGTCCTCGGCTTCATCACCGACAGGCGCAGGCTGCATGATCGGTTTGGCTCTGTGGTCGCAAAATAAGAGGGCAAACTATGTGAATTGGCAACACCAAAGAATGGAGGCTAAAATCTATGTCAGTGTAATCCAATAAAAAGTACGGATGCACGCCACAGTAGAAAAAGGTGGGAAGCTCAGAGCAACACCAACAACTTCCCGATCCGCTGAAAATAGTAGAGGGATTTTGCATTTGAGATGCCTGGGATGTCACAAGCCCAAATGATGGTCATGCACTGAAAAATGCACACTTCTGAAAAAAAACAACTGAGAGGAAATACTCATATTGATGGAAGGATTCCAACAACAAGATGTCATATGCTGGAAGCAAGCTACCAGGTCCCAAAGGAACACATTTCTCAGTAACTTAAATAGTTAGTTTTCTTGGAAAAAATCGTGATGAGAATTTGACGTACCCAAATTTTTTCGATGAAAAAAGCACCCCGAAAGAACAACCCGGATCGAACTGGTTTCGAAATGGAAACGACACCAAAGTTTGAATGTTTTGCTCAAATGTCAAGTGAATTCTACTGGGGATAAAACAAAATGAGTTAACGTGAAGCGACTCTTTTTTGCATGTTTCCAGTGAATATCGGTGTTTTCGTGTTCACAGTAAAGTCCAGTTCTACGTGAGAAGTTCATGCATATGAGAAAAACGCCTGTTTTATTACCTGACTTATATTAGTCACGAACATTAGAGTTTTGTACGCTGCGCTGGAAAATGTAAATGACACATGTGTAGGAAGTTGAATAGCAGATATCAACACAACCTCACTTTGGAAGTTCAGCAAACATGTGGTACGGTCACTACCAGTTACTCTGCTACGAAGAAACATCCGTGTCGAGGAAGCTGTTCAAATGCCACTAAAGGTTTACTCTCATTCCTTGGCCTAATTGTTGCGGTGTGTCCACACCAAAGAGAGGAGCCACTGAAATTGAGGTTTGCTGCTATTATAGATAACCAGAAACACATATACAATGGCCGTGTCGGGGTTTGAACTCCGAACATCCCGCGAGGCGACACCAAAGAGAGGAGCCACTGAAATTGAGGTTTGCTGCTATTATAGATAACCAGAAACACATATACAATGGCCGTGTCGGGGTTTGAACTCCGAACATCCGGTACGCGAGGCGAACGTGTTACCAATGGTCTACCAGAGCAGGATGGGTGCATCTGAATTTTTCCGTTTGAACAAGCGAACGTGTTCTCACTGTGTTTGAGTGTGCTTGAGTTCTGGCAGTGTACAAAACATGAAATCGTGAGTACTCGTGAAAACAGCTGTTTGGTCAATTTGCAGGCGTTTATGACGGCCAAATGTGCAGCGTCTGGGTATCGGTAGGTATCGGTATATATGTGGGCTTTGGCATGCAACTGAATGCATTCCTATATATTTGAATAGGGAATCTACATATGGGTTAGCAAAAGAGGGGTTTGTTACTCGCAATTGTAGGGATTTACTGGATATAACCGAAAAAAGTGGGAAATGTAAGCAGGTGTCTATTTTTTGTCTTCTGTCATGCTTTATTTGCTAAACAATAAGACCCGTTTCATATCATCAAGCGACAACATCAAATTAATCTTATTTTTGCCTTTCAGGGACTTTTAGGATTCTAACCTAGAAGAGACTGAATTATGCTAAGAAAATTTTAGTTAATGAAAGTAGAAGAATCTACGAAATTCGTGTTCATTTGAATCTTTTTGGAACATTTTGTCCATTTCCGACAAAGTGCTTTGCAGAAAAGTATTTTTGCTGTATTAGGGGACGAGTCTGATCGCCGCTGGTTTTACGTATTTATGAGTGACTCTACACTATTCAATGCGGGATGGTGACATCAATCCTGCATTAAAAAATTGGTACATTCGCAACTATTCCCTCCAGTGCAAACGAAGTGGTTGACGCAGAAACTACTGATCATGACAAAGAAAAGTGTTATGTTGATTGCTTTTATAATCACAAAGACGAGACGGTGGACAATAAAGCCATCTGGAGACTGCAATAAATACAACGCTAACAGAAACAGAGGAAAGATAATTTACATTAGAATATGAAATTTTGAATTCCGTTCTCTGTCACTTACCACCGAATTTGGCTACAATAAATTCAGCTTAAAAAGTGACGGACAACCTTGACAAAGCAAAGTTTATTGGGATAGAAATGAAGCATTATATGTTTGTTGAACACTTCATTATAACTAGTGACTAAGCAGTTGTTATCTAATAGAATAAAATTATTGTTTCCGGAGAATTACCATCTTGGATTTTCTGTCGTTTAAGTGCCACTAAAGGTTTACTCTCATTCCTTGGCCTAATTGTTGCGGTGTGTCCACACCAAAGAGAGGAGCCACTGAAATTGAGGTTTGCTGCTATTATAGATAACCAGAAACACATATACAATGGCCGTGTCGGGGTTTGAACTCCGAACATCCGGTACGCGAGGCGAACGTGTTACCAATGGTCTACCAGAGCAGGATGGGTGCATCTGAATTTTTCCGTTTGAACAAGCGAACGTGTTCTCACTGTGTTTGAGTGTGCTTGAGTTCTGGCAGTGTACAAAACATGAAATCGTGAGTACTCGTGAAAACAGCTGTTTGGTCAATTTGCAGGCGTTTATGACGGCCAAATGTGCAGCGTCTGGGTATCGGTAGGTATCGGTATATATGTGGGCTTTGGCATGCAACTGAATGCATTCCTATATATTTGAATAGGGAATCTACATATGGGTTAGCAAAAGAGGGGTTTGTTACTCGCAATTGTAGGGATTTACTGGATATAACCGAAAAAAGTGGGAAATGTAAGCAGGTGTCTATTTTTTGTCTTCTGTCATGCTTTATTTGCTAAACAATAAGACCCGTTTCATATCATCAAGCGACAACATCAAATTAATCTTATTTTTGCCTTTCAGGGACTTTTAGGATTCTAACCTAGAAGAGACTGAATTATGCTAAGAAAATTTTAGTTAATGAAAGTAGAAGAATCTACGAAATTCGTGTTCATTTGAATCTTTTTGGAACATTTTGTCCATTTCCGACAAAGTGCTTTGCAGAAAAGTATTTTTGCTGTATTAGGGGACGAGTCTGATCGCCGCTGGTTTTACGTATTTATGAGTGACTCTACACTATTCAATGCGGGATGGTGACATCAATCCTGCATTAAAAAATTGGTACATTCGCAACTATTCCCTCCAGTGCAAACGAAGTGGTTGACGCAGAAACTACTGATCATGACAAAGAAAAGTGTTATGTTGATTGCTTTTATAATCACAAAGACGAGACGGTGGACAATAAAGCCATCTGGAGACTGCAATAAATACAACGCTAACAGAAACAGAGGAAAGATAATTTACATTAGAATATGAAATTTTGAATTCCGTTCTCTGTCACTTACCACCGAATTTGGCTACAATAAATTCAGCTTAAAAAGTGACGGACAACCTTGACAAAGCAAAGTTTATTGGGATAGAAATGAAGCATTATATGTTTGTTGAACACTTCATTATAACTAGTGACTAAGCAGTTGTTATCTAATAGAATAAAATTATTGTTTCCAGAGAATTACCATCGTGGATTTTCTGTCGTTTAAGTTAAATCTTTTGCTGCTTATGGGGGGTGAACATTTGTTATGTTCCGCTGTGTAATGCGCAGGTCCAAGGTACACTAGTGTGATTAAAACCAGGTGAGCAATGTTCTTGCTCTGATTATCAATGGTTCACTGTTACTACGCTTTTTTTCTGTTGCTCTGCCGTTGGAATTTTTCTACAGTGCCAACATCCAAAGTGACTTTGTGCGTTTTCTTATGTCTACTAATCAGAATGAGAAGTTGATGACGCCTTTACGAAGGAAGACCGATTAGGCTAATCAAACATTTCTAGCGCTCCCAGAATTAAACCGTTAATTGCACATCTGTTGCGTGATACAGTTTTGGATTTGGCCGGGGTTTTGGGTTTGGGTGGAAAATGTCTGTATTTGGCGGTACTGTGTTTCGAAAATTTTGGAATCAACTTCGCATCAGACCTCTGTAGTATTAAAAGTTACTGCTTATATTCAACAACCAGGGAATAATGCTCATTTTTTATTTAAGGCCGTTACCCCTGTGCACACGACAAAAATATCTTTTACATTCCACAGTGGCAAAATCCGGTCATTCAGGGGCAACTTTTGGGTTGAAGGGCGAATTTTACCAAAATATCGCGCCTCATGCTACGAAGGTGAGAAATTTAGTCACCACAACATACAGAAAGACACGCCTATAAACTTTCCTAACGCTTACTGAGACAAGCTCGTTTGCAGTGTAATTAGTCACACAAACACTTGCTAGTGAAGTGAAAAAAACAACAGTACATACGCGAAAACACATGCATTTATACTCCTTAGATCCGGTGATCTGATTAATCTGAACAGCAAACGCTGCGCAACTCACCGAGACCTCATTAATTGTACATCACAGTGAGCGATGGGTTAACTTGTAGGCTTTAGTGCAAAACGTGTTTGACGTGTTCTTTGACGTCTTTGGCATTATGGAGATATTTTCTACCAAAGATTTTAACAGATCTTGGTTTGTGCTTTGCTTCAGAACGTGATTGTTCGAACTAAGTGATTGTCTGCAACAAATTTGTTGGGCCCCAATTGTCGTGGTACGTGAAATCCCTGTGTCTTCTCTTTGTGATACATGGTGAACGATTAAGCTGCAAAATATTCCTTAATCTGGTGTAGCCAAAAATGTATCCTTTAACACGCAGCCAGAAACCACGTATCTAATTTATTTGGGCTCTTTCTCAATTCCATTTTGAAGGCCGTAGGTACACATTCTGTGTATACTGCTCGCTCCTTTATTTTGAGATGGATTAGCGAAGTTTGGTCGGGAATGATGACATTACTGTTCAAAAGCAGATTTATATAACGTTCCCCAATCAGGGAAATCACTGATTTCCGTTCGTAAAAGCGCAGTAGGAACAAAGCCCTATGGGGTTCCCAGCTGGCCAATATGGATACCTGACAGAATATTTAAGGCAAATTTTCATCTCATAGAGAGACATTTATCTCAATTAGGCACAGAGCCCAACCCACCCACATTCCACCAGTCGCATGGATCAATATATTACTGAATCAATCGGAACCCGTTTTGTATCACTGTTGAATGTAATGAACTTGTGAAGATCTGGCACTTAAAAACAGCCCCAGTTTTGCAGTAACATAGACATATACGAATGCCCAAAGCGGTGACGAGCTTTGCTGGGACAAGCATCACTGGGGAGCGCGTCCTGGACTGCCTTCATCGAATGAATAAGTACCCCCAAACCCGAAACCTCCATCAGTAATAATTACAATAAATGTTAACAATAGGCAAGTATATATTGTCATTCCATTTACCATCTTCAGGCCCAGAATTTACAGCTTTCGACATATTTTGTGCGTCAGCTACCATGCATTGTATGAAAAATCTCACTAATCGAAGAGTCAGAATAATCTTTGCTAAGTTTGCTGACACCAATCCCAAATTTTAGTAATAGGTGTACAACTCATTGTAAATATAATCCGGCGTCTGCTTGGGTGGAAAATAAATTATCGGTCTCACGTAAAGCGCCAGGTGCACTTCAGGCTGTCAATTCTGACCTTCATGCATGATTATTAGTCAGGACCTGTTTGTAACTTACACTCTGTCTTGATCAGCTTCTCCGCTCTCTACTTTGTAATAAGACAGGCGAAAAAATGTTGCCGTTGTGCGGATGGTGATGAAAACAGCAGTGGTTATTCAGGTTGACCTTTATTACTTTTCCTAATCTATAAGTTCATTTACAGAAAGGCGCCAATTATTTGTTACGACTACCCCGATGTAAAAAAACATTAATAGGAATTTTCCGTACCGTGATGGATAATGCCGTGCTAATCTGTCAATCAACTGTCAGTGATGATTTTAATGAAGACAAAATCTACACTCAGTTTAACTTTTTCTCTGTGAATAACATTAGATGTAATGCTAACCCTACTTTGGGGGAACAAAACAACACGGGCACCCTACATCCATCCCAAATATCAAAGTTAAAAAAGGCCTGAGTTTATGCTGAAAGTCTGATGAGCAACAAGAGGGCGAAAATTCCCATCGGCTTGGCTAAGTTTCAGTGAAACTTTGTTCCAAATATGTGTTTATACTTTGTAGCAACTACAAAAAATAGTTTCGTTACCAAGTTTTAGTAATTTTAAGTGTACCGAGCACTGGAATGTTCCTAAAAGTCTTCAGAACACTTTATTCGCACATTGTGCAAAGCCTAACTTAATCTTTTCATTAATATTCCGCAGTACAAGCTTATAATGTAACAGGTCCATCAAACTTTGAAGGAATTGGGATCAATCTTAAAATGTCTTCTGGTTGCTTGAAAGGCACTTTAATACAGCGCATTTAAGTCAAATGTTACCACGTGATTCCGTCACCAAAGGAATATTTAGATGCATGGTTTCCCGTCCAGCACCGTAGGCACTTTGTAAAACGGCGTCGTTTGAGAGGATTACTGATGTGGCCAAGGGAAATGCCTCCGTATATTTTATTCCGCAACTCAGATGACAACCTCGAAGAGAACCGCTGTAATATCAAAAGAGATAAAATTCTATTAGAATGTCAAAAATAGGCAAACTAAGAAAATGAACGGTTGTTTTAAAGAGCACCAGTTTATTTTATGGATCAAATCTGTCCTTGAATTGAGAAGCACGAATGGAAATTTCCTCAGAGTAGTATCCTCCCAAACTCAGTGGGTTAACCGAATACTGTGACTTTGTTTCTCATAAAAATTTGTTCCTCTTGAGTCCTGATCTTGTGGTAGATTTTTTTCCAATACTGGCTTGAAATTGGACGATGCTAATCGTTCTTGGAAGCAAAGCATACCGATCACAAAAGTACCAACACAAAAAATGCTCACCCATATACACCTACAATATCTTAACTGTTCAGGACAGTTTTGCGGAAAAATGACACGCGAACCGGCCACAGCGCTTTAGGTTCTACCAGTGTTCCTAGTGAGTTTCTTCCTATTAAATTTGTCATTCATAACAAGTACAATGTGATTTTAAGGAAAAATTTTCTATTGGAACAATACTGTGAATTTCTGGACTCGCGCTTACACTGGCTTTATTGCAGTTAGTCCGATCATGAAATAAATGTAGTGAAACCAAGCAGAAGGATTTGGCTAGACTGAAGGCATATATGATATTAATCTTGCTATTGATGTTACTATCCAGTATGAGTATGCTCATATCACATTCAAGTGTATTTGTTTAGATAAGACCAGGAGCCAGGCGGGTGTATTTAAAGTCATAGTTGGGAAAGTAAAATGCCTTGCATGTGCCTTTGAAGACGTCAGATAAAAGTAATTAGGCCACCAAAAAATTTGCAGGTTTCTTACGTCTTCTTAACCGGAATGGATTGCAATGTATAATTCAAACATCTTGACATACCTAATAAACTCACAACTACGTGGGATTTTGCATTATGGCAAGAGACCTAGGGTGAGTGTTTCGATGCATGCCTCTGAAGCACCGAATTTGGTGGTAG